TTGATATGTCGCTTTAAACGTTAAATGAGATGTAAGCTTAAATCTTTCTAGATTTTTTGTACAATTTTCTGTGACTGAAACTTTGCCAATCTCGTGAAGTTATATCGTCGCACAGGCCACGCAGGTATGTCGAGCAACTGGTGCTTATGCTTATGTAGCTTTCTATGCATGCCAAAATCTAATCTTTGCTTTGTAGTAAAGTCTTTCACAATATGGCCAAAGTTGCAGAGAACATTAAGTTTGTGGACGATCTCCAGCAAGCACTTACAGAAAGCTTAGCTGTGTTTGCGGTTAGCTAATTGAAATCTGAACAAAAACTAATTATCAAGAACATTGTTGGAAGGAGAGATGTTTTCAAACAGTTACCGAAGGGGTTTGGAAAGAGTTTAATCTTTCAACTGCTGCCTAGAGTGTTCAAACTCTTGAGCTTGAAAGGCCACAGATTTTCTTCTACTCCTTGTTCATTGTCATTTCACCTCATTTGTCGCTTGTTGAAGACCAAGTTAAATACCTTTGATCACTGGGAATCAGTGCTGCTTTCATTGGAGAAAACAAAACCAAAGACAAGGAAATCTTGGATGGAAATGGCAGGTTTGCTTTCTTGTAAATGTCAGCTTAGTACAGGGTTATCTACCCACATCTAATAAACAAAAGTTTCCACGCTCAGCTTTTCTTTTTTTTTTCAGGCGAAGATTAGATTAGATTTTGGCATGCACAGAAAGCTGCGTAAGCACCAGTTGCTCGACATAACTGCGTGGCCCGTGCAACGAAATAGCTTCACAGGATTGGAAAAGTTTCAGTTACAGCAAATCATACAAAAAATCTACACTGGTAGAAAGATTTAAGCTTGCATCTTGTTTAACATTTAAAGTGACCTTTCAGTGCCTGCAACCATTATGTTTTATACGAACCTAGCAAACTTTTAAACACATTCTCTTCTGATACCTGCAAAAGTATTGTGTGCTGAGACTGAAACTATTCACCATGGGCAAAGCTTTGTCGCACAGCTCAAACAAACATAGCGAGCAACAGAGCTTCTTGTATATGTCCGTATTAAAACACACGAAAGGACTCCAGTGCACACTTCACTCTGATTGGGCAGAAAAACACAAAGATTTTCTGGCACCAATCAGATGCCAGAAGGACTGCCACCGTTTGGAACTAGTCTTGTAAGACAATGTCCCCAGGGGGTCTTCTGTCCTTAACTTGAAATCGACTCACAGCCCCTGGGTCTCCGAGGATGATCTGGACCATGCAGGTCCCAGCTGTCTGGTGAGATCATCCCTCCATCGTGTTTTTGGATGATCCTGTTTTTGGATGATCCTGTTTTTGGATGATCCTGTTTTCTGGTCCAGCCTCTTGGGGTCCACTCCATTGCTCTAATGGTCCATCTATTATCTGACAGCCATGCTGTGTGATCTGCCCATCTGTGCTTTGCCATCTTGATAGCATTGACAATGTCGCTTACACCAGTTTCTTTTCGAATCCAGGTGTTTCACTTTCGGTCTCGAAGGGTAATGTTCAGCATTATACATTCCATCTTTTGCTGTGCGACCGCAAGCTTCTCTGCCACAGCATTGTTCAATGCCCATGTCGTAAGTCATTACTGGTAGAATGTACTCATTGTGTATCTTCCTCTTGATCTTCATACTTGCCTTGCGGCTTTTCATGATGTTGTCCACTTTTCCAAAGACTGCCCAACCAAGTGAAATCCTTCTCCTAATCTCAGGAAGTAGGTCACCATCTCGTGTCAATGTCTTTCCTAAGTAGACATAGCTGTCTGCCTCCTCAATGGTCTTGCCATCGAAAGCTATTGCTGACTTGTTGATGTGGTCATTGAACATCACTTTAGTCTTGCCTAGATGCATGTTGTGGCCAACTGGTTTGCTTGTCCTATGGGTATCAATGAGCATACTGTTCACTCCCTCTGGTGACTTGGCCAACAAGATGATACTGTCAGCAAAAATTAGGTGGGAGAGGTATTCTCCACCGATGGAGAGGCCTCTATCTTCCTGATCAATTCTCTTTATGATCGCATCCTGAAGACAGGATATAAAGAGTCTGGGTGATATGTTAACTTTGTGATAAGGTTTTAAAGCAACATTTGTACTTTGTCAATGAGCAAATTAAAACTCTGTGCTTGAAATTTATTATTAAATTTGTCATTTGATACAAACAGTTTGAATTGCGTACATTCTAAGTATTTGCCCTCCATAAGAGCAAAGGAAAATAAAAAAGATAGTTTGCATTAATTGAATTAAAATGATTACTAACCTGAGTCTGACTTAAGTGGTACATCTTATAATTTAGAGAGGGTGCAATTTAATTAGACTAATCACAGATAACAGAAAAGGTATATTCTTTAATTGTATGAAGCCTGTGTGTTAAAACTACGTGTGAAAATTTGAATATGAAATGATTTATTTATTCTCATGCAAATAAAACAAGGGTGTTACACTTGGGCTTATTGTAAAAGTGAGGGTGTTTCGAACTGGGAAATGGCACTGGTAGATTGCTTTTAACATTCCTGTGAAAAACCAGTCTGTAGTGATTACAAGCTAAGTGAGAAATGAATTCCATTGTTCATGTTTTTTGTTTCATGGGTTTTATGTTTTCCATTGTTATTAACTTTTTGATTGTGTTTTGTTTTTGTTTTGTGTAGGTGATGTAATGCTGGATATTTCCTGGCTTCTGACATTGTACCAAAGGGCAGCTCAACATGACACCAAGTCCATCTGCAGATGGGCTATCCTGGACTTGCTCTGCATGGACCTGTGTGATTCACCACTTCTGAATACCTGTTACTGGTGGTTCATATATGGCCCTCTCATGAGCATGCTCGCAGAGTATGCAATTTACACCAGAGCAGACGAAGGCCTCCGAGGAGACCCTCCCCCAGTGGGGGCTGCACTTGTCACCTTCTTCCCAGAGTTTGTAAAAGCCTTGGCGGCAGTTGACAGACTATCATTTTGCTCCGGGCTCTTATCTGCTGTGGTGAAACAAGAGTTTTCACAAGTACCCTTGGTCTTCATATCCCAGATGTTAGCAAGTCTTCCGCCTTGCCCTGTGTGGGATACAAGAGCAATGGCAAGCATTCGTGACATTTTCCCCCTCTTTAGACCATTCTGTCCACACCTGACAAGTGCTATTCAGAGCTTTCTCCTTAAGGCAGTTATAAATCTCTGTGACCCCAAACGTGTTTCGTGGAAAGATATTGGAGATTTTCTTTCTCTTTTTTCGAAAGATGATTGTCTGAGCCGGGGAAGTACCCTGTGGGAAGCAGTAGTTCAATGGGTGTGGGAGATCCGTGACTTGGTCCGTCACGAAAGTTTTAGTCAAGATAAAACGGGGTTTTCAGGCCTCTTTGACCACCTTCGGGAAGGTGTGGAAGTGCTCCTTAACGAAGACAAACTAGAATTAACAACTAGTGATCCAGAAATGCAGTCCGTGATAAGGTTAATTTCAATTGCATGTGATGCTCATCTGAAGTTCTCAAAGAATTCAAGCAAGAGAAAACAGCCAGTGGATGACATATTCCAGAAAATCGTGGAGGTCCTTCAGCATGCAAGCCGACATGTTTATGCATCTGAGGGTAGGTCTCAAAGAGCAGCCATGATGCTATCAGGAATCTTAGAGCTGATGAATACAGCAGCCACCAAAAACACAAATGGAAAAACAGATGGCATCGTTGCGAAAACTCAGGAAGTCGATGGGAGCATGGAGATAATTGAAAACGTGATTGGACGCAGTGGTGCAGAAATCTTTGAGCTGTTATTACGAAAACTCACCACCTTGTCCGTGAATTCCTCCCAAATAGATAACAACCCTGCGTTTCTTGAACTCACTGATCAGTTGTTGACATTCACAACGGTGTCTGGGAACTCTAGTCAGAGTTTGGAGGTGTGGCACCAATTTGTTCAAGATCTTACACAGCGAAGCCGGAGTTTAGTGTTAGAAAAACAATTAGACAGAGAGCAGTTGACTCTAAGTGATTGGCGTGCATTTGTGTTGTCCATGAAATGTTCAGCTTGGTGCTGTACAGCTCTAAGAACCAAACCTGACCTGTACACTACCCGTTTGGCATCCACCTTGTTGCAGACGGTGACAGAGCTTGATCTGAGCACCGAGTTTCCAACACCAAAGTTTCTTTACCCGGTCGAGGTTCGTGGCGAGTCTTCAGCAGAGTCAAGTGTATTTCTCAAGAAAGGTTGGGGAAGACTGGTCTCTGACTTTATCGAAGCTCAGTGGCAGTGTGTTCAATTTCTGCTCGAGGAATCCCAAGGATCGTCCGACGGAAGGGACATGGAGCTTGGGAGCAAATTGGAACGCTTTTTGGCAGATCTACCTGACGCGGCCTTGGAAGCCCTTTCTTTGGGCTCAGGGCTTGCAGTGCTTCCTGTCATAAGATGCGTGCGCCTATTAACTCCCCGAATGCTTCAAGCAGATGACTCGCTGTGTTCCCAGGCACTGGAGGCAGTTTGGTGGACTTTTCAAGATCGCCAAAAACGCGATCAAGTCTGGTTTTGGAAAACGTTGAGGGAGGTAACGCAGGTGTTTTTTAACCCCTGTCTCCTGATACTGGCCGAGGACCACCCTGTAACTGCATTTGTGCGAAGGTACTGGGGAGAACTGTCGGTTCTGGGGGAATACCGTCCGGGTATTATGAATCATGTGATCGGGCCGTGCTGTGAATTCTGGGCTGGCTCTCCTTCTGACCGTTTCCTTGGGAACCTTACCTATCAAATCAGTGACGAAAATCGCAAGCAAAGCTTAGATGTTTACCTGGATTTTATTACTGAAGCTTGTTTCTTTGGTCCCAGAGAAAGGAAAACGGCGCGAGGCACAAATTACGTGCTGGAATACGTTCGTCGGTTGGGCGTGGAACGGGTGATTTGTCCTTTCAACATGGACGAGTTGCGCGAGGACACACGTGTGCGAGTGAATGCGATTAACGTGTTAATGACTTTAGATCCGATGGATACTCAGGATGCGAAGCTTCTACAAAGTCTCGTCGAAGCTTTGATCAGTAAGGACGGCGAGCTGTCAGAAGATAAACCCCGCTCATCCATTAACTCGTACTCACACAGGAGAAAGCACCGTGTGTGGCAAACTGTTCTCGTGGTGCTCTCTCGCTTTTTTGATGCTGACGCCTTAGATGAAATGTTTGCCAGTCGAGTGTTGGACGGGATTTTCCGCGCCATTCGTTCCGAGAATCAGGCGTCGGTCCGGAACTTTCTTCAGTGGGGAGTGGTTCTGACCCTAGGAAAGTAAGTTACCCGAGGAAAATGGACCTCTGTACGCGGGATCATTAGAAGGTGCTCTCACGCAGGAAATAAAGCACATCTTTTTTTTTACAAAAAAAATTGTGGTCGTTCCAGCCATTTTCTTTGGTGACATCCATTCTCAGAGCCAAACCAACTGTTAATGGAGGCACCCTCACTCCCCAAATTTTCCGGTGACCTAAGCGTTAGAGCGGGTGGACATCGGCGCAGTTCAGAAGTTCCTGGCTCGATACTATAATCTAAGATCAATGTAATTATGCTGTGTCCGAGAGGGAAAAAGTTTAATTTTTATAGTTATTCCTCGCCGGCTCTTTACATCAGAAAAACCAATGATTCAAAACGTCTCATAAAATGGTAAAAATTCCAATTAACAGGAGACGGACCAGTAGGCCTATTACAAGCGTGTCCCGAGATTTGCACCCGGGAGCTTTGGATCGCGAGTCCAGCGCTCCAACCACTGGGCAACAGGGCCTCGCTCCTACCGACAAAAAGTCTGGGGAGCGGGCTGGGGGTTACCCTGACCGTGAGGTAATCTGCATTGGGGAGTATCCCACCTCCTAGAGGTTAGTTCACTCTCAGTTGTTTCTTGGTATGGACAGCGGGATCGCCACCGGTAGCTATGTGGGTCAGGCTCGTAGACATTCCGCATTCAGAAGGGAAAGCCATTGCAACGCTCCTTTAAAAAGCAGCATCACGATCGCCAAGCAAATTAGAACTATAGGTAGAAATCCTACAACAGATAAAGCTCTTATGTTCCTTGTTTCATCAGATACCCAAGCCTCGTGCCGTTGCTATGGACACAGTTGCAGTACGATGTAGAGAGAAAAGCTGGTAGTGTTTCCTCACTTCTTGCCGTTGCCGCGCTTGTTGGCGAGTTTTCATTTGCAGATTCCCGCTCTCAGGCGGCTTTTTTTCAGCAGGCGTTCCCCATTATACTTCCTTGGGCGTTAACATCACATGTCATGGTATGATATATCTATGTCATTGTTTCGTAAGTCATGTTTGAAAAGTAAAGCGCCGAATATTTCACAATTATTCCTCGAGTGCGTGTTGGATATGAGGTGATAGGTTCGGGCCTTGTTGGCTGTAATCATCTCATATCCAAAAATCTTCCCAACTGTATTTTACAAGAACAAACGGAATGTGACAATGTACAAAAACACTTTCGGTTAACTCGTCTTCATGCGTACGCGTGGTATAGTGGCTCATAACCCAAGATGGCTAAGCCAATGGAACCTCATGAATTGCAATATCCAATTGATATTAAATGTAAGCCGGTGTTTTTCTTCTACTTTCTCGCCTGTTTGTAGGCTAGGTTTCGATTTTTAGCCTTACGTCAGAGGATAAAGATGATTTGACAAGAACAGCGTCTATCATCTCTTTATTCACTCACCTAAGGTAAACTACGAAAAAGTACAAAGTAACCTCTTTAGATGAAGAGTTTTAAGGCTGTCAGCTGATGGTGCGCAACGGGTAAAGTCCTTGGATGAAACTGTCGAGTCGGTTATTTACCAACCTGGTTCTTAAACGTAGCTGATGAATGGGTTAATCTTATACAGAGAATCTTGTTTTGAGAATCAAGTTTGGATCATTTCTCGTTGTCCGTCTTATCTGAAGAATTCGCATAGCGGCCTGCCGTGCTTTGTTCGAGAAACACTGGTTACCAAACAGTCAGGTGTTGAAAACGAAATTTATGACATTTGCACTTCGATCTGAACAACACCGATTGAGGTACTGTCAAATCGCAAGTTAAAAATAGAAACGAAAAATATTTTCGTTTCTATTTTTCAATGGAGGATTTGACAATGTTTGCCTGTTAAGTAAAAGCAGGGGATGTAATCGATACATGATCGGTAAATATCGTTAATCGATAATTGGTGTTTTGTCTCCCTCAGGTCCAAGCCTACGCTCAGGTGACATTACAGAAGATGTGGCTTACATGCCAACGAGAGAATCTGCATGACGTGACATCCAACCACGCCATCATTCAGTCTTGCGTTCACTTCTTGGAGACAAACAATGAAAGCGTACGTCAGAAAGTTCGCTTGCTGGGAGACTTTTTCTTCCTTGATGTGCATCCCCACCGAGACCTTTCTATTCAGACGCTATTTGAGACTCTTCCCCGTTTAACAGAGGTTACTGATGAAGAATGGATTTCTCCCAAAGTGTTCACAGGGGGGTGGTTAGGCAAGCATGTTTGGGGGTCTCGTGAGCATGGCCTCGGTGTTTTGCCGTTGTACAATCCTGATGATACACAACTGGCTCAGATTTCTAATGGTCCATATTTTAACTACGGTGAAAACGTTGGGGAACAAATTCGTCGACGATTAGCGGGTGAGAGAACGAACAATAAAAACATTGCGCAAATGACCGACTTAGCGAGGACTTCTGAAGTGCAGAGTAGCGATGTACAGAAAAAAATCTTCCCTTGGAAAGTGATTCCCCCCGATGCAGATATGATGTCAGAAATGCAACAGCAGAGATTGGCGAACCTTCAGAAGAGCTCGGCTGGTAGTTTGATAGTGGTTGCTTCACTAATCGACAAAGCTCCAAATCTAGGCGGCCTCTGCCGTACTTGTGAAATATTTGGCGTCCAGACTCTGGTGCTTAGCAACTCTCACGTGATTGAAGACATCCAATTCAAATCTCTGAGCGTTACCGCTGCCAAATGGATGAACATCGACGAGGCTCGCGAGTCGGAGCTCAAGTCCTACCTCGAGCGCATGCGCCATGAGGGTTACACGCTTATTGGCGTTGAGCAAACAGCGAATAGTGTGCACTTAACTCGTTATCAGTTCCCACACAAGTCGCTATTGTTGCTTGGTAACGAGAAAGAAGGCATACCCGTAGAGCTGATTCAGATGCTTGATGTATGTGTGGAGATCCCACAGGTAGGCATCATAAGGTCCCTCAACGTGCATGTTAGCGGGGCTCTACTTGTTTGGGAGTACACAAGGCAAAGGATCCTCGGTCTTGCCTCATGACTTCACATGTAGGCGCACAGAAATGAGAACAACCTTACGAAAAGCTGGGCGTTAACAGCGACTAGAACGTCAACAAAGAAAACCATCATGCGAAATAACCAAATGTTGAAATTTGGAGAATGCAGAGAGTTTAGAGAAATTCTTCTTTCTTTTAGGAACTGAACAGTTAAACTAAGAAACCTCTACTGTCGATAGAAACTGTGCATAATGAAGGTAGATCAAACAGACACAGTGTAGATTAATATAATTATCAGACACTGATTTCAGATAGGTTCGTTTTTCAATTCGTACAGTCAACAGCTTATGAGCTCCTGGCACAAAGTCTAATGCGTCGCCCATGCAAAGTTTCTGTCTCTCTTCATACGAGACTGAAAAGATTCGGTTCTATTTGATATTTATGAGATGATTGCTCCGATAAAATTTTAATTATTATTATTATTATTATTATTATTATTATTATTATTATTGATTTTTTTAAGCGCCTCGCCCCTTGCTTGGTCAGCCATTCTTTTTCAATTTCTCTCCCTCCAGCCCTAGATCAATACCTTGTCTTGTTCTGACAAGGACACATGACAGACATTTTAAAACCAGAAGTTTTTTCTACAGTTTTGATTCACTTTGCACCATATTTGTTTGTGACCCATGCATTTCCCACGCACTTACGACCTAGTAAAACATGTCCGTGCAAAAATGGAAACACTGACAGATCAAGCCAAATTACTATGCGAAACATGCCTTTGCAGGAAATGTTAATTAAAGTTTCCTGTTGCGGTAATAGGTGAATATTTGTCTAAAATGCCTAAATACCACTGAAACCACGGGAGAGACTGTTTTTGCTGATTTCTTAATAAAATGCAGTCAAAAGTCGTCCGTTATTCCTTCTTATCTGACTTTCAATGTGTGTGTGTGTGTGGTTTTTTCTTTTTTTGCACAGTTTGCTGACTGAGGAACAACAGTACATTTGTTCTTGAATCGATTGTTTCTTAGAAACTCAATACTCTTTACTAACTGGAATAAGTTACTGTTTGAAGTTGCATGTAGTTTTCCAGACCATAACTCCTTAGGGTGCCCAGTAGCTTGCACGGATCGTTGCTGCAAAAGTGCTGGAGAAAATGTCGGAGAAAAGCGAATCAAACGGATCTATTACTGTCACAGTCACTTCACCGACAAAGAATGAATAGGTCATCACTGATAAGGAAAACGGCGAAGAGGACAACGGACTCCAAGTTGAAGTGGAAGCGAAGAGGAAAGGATGGGGAAATAAGTTGGAGTACATGCTCGCCACTGTCGGATTTGCTGTTGGTCTTGGAAATGTATGGCGTTTCCCCTATCTGTGCCAAAAGAATGGAAGAGATTAGACTATTGACTGAATCACCAAAGACAAAGCTTTTTGCCTGGTTTGTTTTCTGATTATTGAGGCTGAAACGATTTTAACACCCCAGAGACATCGAGTGAGAATTCTAAGGTTTCTTATTTCACACTTGTACGTCAAAACCCTCGAGCTTACGAAAATTCTAAGGTGTCTTGCGCTTTCACTAAATCTTTCGTAGAATTAGACTAAGCAGTGCTTTATGTGGCGAAAAAGTCTATTTGTTTTTTAGTGGTGAACTCACTCACTCTTGACTTTATAACGTCGACACCCGAAAAAGCCTGCTTGCCTTTCAGGTTTTCGATGCCTCTTTGGAACGCCACGAAACTTAATCCTTTGCCCTTTGTAAGCAATTCCGTTACATTGTTTCAAAAAAGAGTTTACTTAAGTTATGTAAAAGTCTCAGTAAATGACCTGGTGTTGAACGCCGGCTATCCCAATCCCCCATCGTATTTGTTTGCTGATAGTAGTCTTTTAGTTTGAGTCTGTCATAACAATGAACTGAAGATCATAGGCCGTTTTCAGGTGACGTCATCAAATTCCAAAATTTGAAACTAAAGAGCCACGAAAATTTTTATCCTCATCAGGTATAAGGGCGATTAAAGTAATATCTCTTTTCAATTTTTTCAGCTTAATAACGTGCTTAGTTTGGAAACCAGCGCAATTTGAAGTTCACAGTTTTTGGCAGTGCGTGACATACAGCTCTGATCGTGTCTGTCGAAAAATTACACTTATCTAGTGATTTTTAGCCTTTTTAGGAGTTTAAGTGTTAGGAAAAGCGTGTTTATTTATGTTTGTTGGTTCAGTTCAGATAATCAGTCGACTAGATAGCCGACGTAAGTTCCAGATGTTTATATTGTTTTCCAGCCACCATATTGGTGCACCAAAGAGGTGCACCAACATGGCGGCTCCACACCGGGCTCTGCAAATTTGTGCAAAACATTTTGACGAATATTTGAAGTTTGGAAAAACGAAAAGGCCTAAGACTTAAAGGAGTGTCTTTTTTACCTTTTCTCCAATATAACATTACAATTTCCTGACCTTATCCATAGAATAGTTTTCGATTTATTTTTTTATTGGGTGAGAGTGAAAACGATCAGTATAGCAGACATGGAGATGTATGTCTCAGTTAATATTTCACTGTGCATCTTGATCTTGTGCAGTGGAAAAAGTGCTAGGATGGGCTGGGTATCAGTGTCGCTTTATTCGTTGAAACCAAAACAAATTACAGTAATGCAGACAGATTATTTTGTAGGGACTCTCCTTGACGGAGCAAGTTTCTAAAAAGAAAACTCTATAATTATGAAATGAATTTCGACAACAAGAAAATTTTAAACCAAATTTTTAGGAGAGTGAATGTTGTATAGGAGAGGTGGTAAACAATCTTTCTTTTGTAATATTTCCAGGTGCTTTCCTCGTCCAGTACGTCTTCAGTTTGGTTGTAATGGGGATCCCCTTATTTTTCATGGAGTTGGCGATTGGTCAGAGCCTGCGCCAAGGATCTGTGGGTGTATGGAATGCTATTCACCCCTTCCTGGGTGGAGTGGGGTTCGCATCAGTGGTTATCTGCCTGTTGGTGGGCCTGTATTACAACATGATCTTCGCCTGCTGTTTCTACTACTTGTTTGCTTCTTTCCAAGACCCTTTGCCTTACCCCAACTGTCCTATGGTTGATAATGTCACTTTCGTGGAGGAGTGTCATTTAGCAGGCCGTACGCAGTATTACTGGTACAGAAATGCCCTAGAGTGCCCTAAAGTGCATCCATAGAGGAGAGTGGTGGACTCTTATGGCATTTGCGCCTGGTGTTGCTGCTCTCTTGGATTGTTGGGTTCCTGTGCATGATGCGAGGTGTGGAATCTGCAGGAAAAGTTAGTAAAATAATGATTATTCAAACCATAGATCACTGGTGGCCTAAATTATCTTCTCAGTTTCAGAGTTTGACATCCTTATTCTGTAAACTTATGTCATTTTTCTTATCAAGCCTGCAGTATTTTGTGGTTGTATTCAAATTTAAGGTGGCTTTTATCGTCAAAAAATTGACTACACATATCTTACTAGAGTTTTGTTGTGTAGTTTCGCTGAGTATTTTTACGAGTTGTGCCGTATTTTGACGAGCCCGTAGGGCGAGTCAAAATACAAACAACGAGTAAAAATACTCAGCGATACTACACAACAAAACGTTTAATAAGAGATTTATTATCTAACATGCCAAATTGTTTAATCAGTGCGGGCGAATTTCGCGGATATTTCTGGAGTATAAATATCGCGTGATATTTGTACTTGTCTCGCGCGTTATTTGTACTCTACGAACCACATTTGGATAATACTACGTAGTTCTCGTAAGCGAATCTCCAACTGATCGAGAGCATTCGTTTTCTTTTACGAGGATTAAATAATGATTCATCGTGTTCGTTATACTACTATCGTAGTTGCAACAGTCAGCCCCACCAAGACTAATGCGTATTTCTTCATTTTTTTTTTTCTTTTTGACGTTTAAGTTGGATGAAAGGCTAAAACGTTTCAGAAGATAGGAGCTTGCAAACGAAAGCGCTTTAGCGAGGTTAGGGCCCAAATTTAACTTGAATAGCACTGCTAGTGGCGTTAAAAAAATTTTCTTGACAAGGAAGTTGCGTTAGGCTTCGTTTTTAAAATCTTGACGACAGTTTCCATCTCCTAAATGAATCAGAAGACGAATCAGTTTTAGTTGACACTGATCAGTGTGTTAGATGTAAATTGTTTTAGTTTCATTCTGGTTTGCATGCAGTCTACTTCATCGCTACATTTCCATAGGTTGTACTAGTTATCTTCTTTGGTCAGTTCACCAGGCTCTGTTGATGGCATCAAACACATGTTTACCCCTCAGGTAATACGCTCTGTCATGAAACAAAAAGAAACGTCTCGCATTTTAATTGAAGAATCTGTTCTATTCCTGTTAACACAAGTGATTTTTGTATGATCCTCTTCATCGAGAAACATTGGCTAAAATGGCCGAGCAAAGAATCTCATCAGACATTTCACATACGTTAGTTTGATTTGGATCCCATTACCTTTTTTTAATACAAGATCAGGAAGTCAAAAAAGTTACATATGTGCATACAATTCCACGCTTGCGCACAAGTTATTATATCAAGAGAATTAAAAGTGATCCGATTTACTTTAATACTTGCGTAAATAAATAAACGGTCTGAATTTTTGGGGAGATTGCAAGATGATATGTGTTTTGTGTGCCAGCAAATGCTTACTATGATTCAGCAGCACAGTGTATAAATTACATTATTTTTAGACCCCACTTCAGGATCACCTCTCCTGCCTCTGATTTCCCTCTTATGTTACTATTCAATTTTCCCGTCCGTCTTATTTTTTTGCATTCTCTTTGATTTCTTTTTCCAGTTTGACAAGCTTACTGACCCTCAAGTCTGGTTGGAAGCCGCCACTCAGATTTTCTACTCGTTAGGAGTTGTTTTCCGGGGACTCATCGCCATGACCAGCTACAACGATGTCCACAACGACTGCAAACGGGACTCCATTCTGGTGTCAACCATCAACTGTGGCACCTCCATATTTGCTTCGATTGTCATTTTCTCCATTCTTGGATTCAAGGTAAGATCACAAATCCCTTGTCCTGATAATACTCTGTGCATGAATATGTTTGGAAAGCTGGTAAATACATTTTGAATTCGTTCGTCGATCAGGCTTCATTGTGAGTTCAGAGGTCGTTCGTAATCTATTATTACACTCGACAGGACAACATTATGAGTTCATTGCCGATCAATAAGTAACATGATGAGTTCACTGTCGATCAATAAGTTGGGCGCGGTCACCACCACGCCCAACTTATTGATAGACTGTCAGCACTGCAAACGTTACAGAAGGAAAATTCCGATCGCATTCCATTCACTCTCGCGTTTCACCCTCACAACCACTCAGTTAAATCCATTATTCTTAAAAACTTCAAATTACTTGAAAACGATCCAGAGACTGGCACTATCTTTTCGCAACCTCCACTTATTTCATTCAAACGCGACAAAAACATAGGCAATGTTTTGGTCAGAAGTTCATTCCAAACTAATGACTAACCCGGCACTTTTAAATGCGCTCGCGCACGATGCAAAACTTGTCCCTTCATTCACAACGCTGAGAAAATATCGGGACCCATGCGATCCATTAAGATCACCGATCACTTCAAGTGCACCTCCGCCAACGTTATCTATTGCATAACTTGCACTTATTGCAAAAAGTTATACATCGGCGAAACAGGAAGACGACTAGGTGACCTATTCCGAGAACACCTTCGCGACGTGGAAAGGAATGACAAGGACGCATCTAAACCAGTCGCTAGACACTTTAATTTACCTAATCATTCTAAACAACATATGGCAATCTGCGGTCTCTCCTTACATTTAGGCAAAAAGTAAAGCCGCAAAACTCTTGAACAAAAGTTAATCTTTCAAACCGGTACCCTTAATCTCACAGGTATCAACGAACGCTTTTCATTCCACTAATTTATTCGTGTTTTTTTCGTTGCCATGTTCCCACCAATGGCGTAGCTCCGCTTTCTGCATATAAAGCCACATACAACTTACAATTCCTCCATTCGCTCTGACGAAGGGCTAACGCTCGAAACGTTAAGAAGACTTCTTGCCTTTTAAACCGGCATGTAAATTTACACCGAATGCCCTCTCTCAGTATGGTTTTGGAAGCCATAAACGTAACACACGTAACACACGGTATAATTAACAATCTGGATTTTCCACCACTTAATTGTCCGCTTGGTTCACATCTATAGCAGTTAAATTTCCTGTTCGTTCCTAAGCTCGATTTTCGCCGCTCTCTCGGATCCGGTCATTTTCGTGCCTCCCCGAGAAGAGTCTCTTCGGGAAGGAGCGCGGGCTCCGATTCCCGAACAGCCGCGGCTGGTAATCGAACCCAGTTCGTTCCCCAACGAATTTCATTCACGCTGGAGTCATAAGACGCTTCTCGAACGCACCAAATCCGCCGAGCATGCGCATTTGTTTTCCCGTTGTGTCGGTCACAACCAGGTTCATGTGTGTCATACTTCCTGTACGCTTTTAGATGGAAGAGGTAACCCTGTTTTTTATTCCAGGCCCATCATTCATATCACGAATGTTTGAACCTGTACGGAGGTAATAGCACCAACATTGAAAAGCGCTGTAAAGGAGGATTTGGAGTTTTGGTTGTCTGAGGTAAGCACGCATGCTTAGGACTGAGCAGTGAAGATGATACATTTATAATTCGCGATAAAAACTATGAATATTTCTTTACACTCCATCTTCGGGGACGGTCTCCGTAACAGTCAAGTAGGAAAGGACGGATCACGTGTATGCAAACGAAACCTGGGTCGAGCTTCATGTCAACTGAATAAGCTGTACATTGAACGTTGTACAGGCAGCCTTCACCAGCAACAAACGTAGAACACAACCTCGTTCCCAGGGTCTCTCATCTTTCCGCGGCCTGGAGCGAGCGAG